AGGACTATACTCTAAATGGAAGAAGGAATTCTGGGGGCAGCCTAGGACTGGTCTGGCCTGGTAGAGGATGGCAGGGTTATTTTTTGAGGGGGTTTTCTAGAGGAGGTGGACTCTGAGGCAGACAGAGCCTATCATTCTTCCAAAATTGTGTAGGTTTTGTATCATGTGTTGTTTTAATTTGTAAACTAACCTTCTAGAAATAAGATAATTCAAAACTAACTAGGTAAATGATAGGGGAAGGGGAACTTAATTGATAGGCTTGAGTGATTAAAGCTGGAACTCAAAAGTTAAAGATTTTAGCCTCAGTCAATAGGCTTAAGTGACTAATACAGATGGAAAGCTGTTATTCCAAAATTGTTTAGCTTTTGAATAAATACTCCTTTCCTTTTTAATTAAACCTCTGCCTCTGTAATTTTGCCTAGAGGGTGGTGGCAGGCAGCAGAAACCCAGTTGCTGTTTGGTAACAATAGGAGATGTGGTAGGATAGTGGGTACGAGTATAGATATAAGTTTAGCCACAAGTTGAAGGTGGGTGATAGGGTTATACACATAAGAATCCATAATATCATTTTATCTACATTTGTGTATGATGGAACTTTTACATACTAAACAGTTTTTAAAAGTAAGTACTATGAAAAGTAGAATCGGGACAAAATGGGTGCAAGGATTGAGAAGAAATGAGGGTATAAATTTGTAGTGGCATTTGCCTTAGCACTTCAATGACTTACAGCTTGTCCATTTAAAGCCCATATTATAGCATAAGCCCTGAATCAACTTCACATGTGTGGGCAAATAGACACTTTCATATCTTATTTAAAAAGTATATATGTTTTCTCAGCAATCCCAAGCTGCTTCTTTGGGTCCTATCCATACTTCTCTGTTTAGAACAAATTATTGTCCTGCCGTGGCTGGTGTGGCTCAGTGGATTGAGTGCTGACCTGCAAACCAAAATGTCACTGGTTTGATTCCCAGTCAAGTCACGTGCCTGGGTTGCAGGTCAGGTCCCCAGTGGGGGTGTGCAAGAGGCAACAACTGATGGATGTATCTTGTGCACATTGATGCTTCTCTCCTTCTCTTCTCCTCTCCTTCCCCTGTCCCTAAAAATAAATAAAATCTTCAAAAAATAAAAAATAAACTATGGTCCTAATTCCTAATTAAAGAGAAGACCCAGAGACTAGTTTATCAAATTCTTGGGCCATTTTCTCTTCTTCCGTTCTTCCATTCAAAGTAATTGTTATTACTTGCTCATTCTTTTTAACTTCAAAGTGGCAGGAAGTGAACATACAACTTAAAGTAGTCAATTTACCACTTTTGAGCAGCTCTGTGAAGAAGTTTTCTGGAGGTAGTTGGAACATCACTAACAGTTGCAGTACTAGTTTTGCCTCTTCCCCAACTTTCATCTCCTAAACTAAAAGCGTTAATAGTAAAGTCCATCTTAAAATGGAAGGAGTTAAAATACCACCACTATCTTGAAAAACTGTTTGGCATTGTGACTGGTATAACCCAGCTGACACCTGTCACAGGATGTCCTCACAACCCCATGCTTTGGCTTCAAGGGCAATGGTGTTGACATTTTCAAAAGCTCAAGACCTAATAGCTTGCCAGAAAGTACTCCTTACATAACAAAGTTATGCATAGCTAGGTTTGGGCCTTATGTACTGGGAAAGCTGCAAGGGGCTCTGGGATTCAAGAGTTGGACAAAGGAATAATGTACTTAGGGGTGGAGCAAGAAGCTTGAAATGCAGGCTGTTGGGCCAAGGTCTCAAGGACTAGCCAGCCAAATAAATCAGGGAATTAGAGAGGCAGGTTACATTGAAGCTTGAATGTAAGACTGTTCTTTTTTGATTTTACCAGAGATTGGAAAATGAGATTGATTTGTACATTCTGTATGCTCATACTGACCCACTCTCATATATACAAGACAGTGTCAAATATGGTTCTTTGGAATGACTTCCAAGCCTGAAACCCCACTCTTAAATGAATGATCTGAAATTCTTCATTTGTGTGTTATTGTGAAAACATTTTGTAGATGTGACTAACCTTCATAATCAGTAGACTTTAAATAAAGGAAATTATCCTACATAGCCTGGGTGGGCCTGATTCAACTAATTGAAAGGACTTAGGAGCACAACTGAGGCTTCCCAGAAGAAATTCTGCCATTTTCCAGAGCATTTTCACAATCTGTTGAGATTTTGCTTCCTGGCAATTGTCAGTTTGGCTCAAATAAACTCTCTATGGGTTTAAACGGTTTCTTATGTTGACACTGAAGTTGAGCCCTCATACAGTGGTTGAGCATGAGTACTTCCAAGTAGTATTAAGTAAAACTTGGACTTTATATTTTAATAATAACAAATACAAATATTTGCATTTTGATAATTGCAAAAATTAATATATTTTGGATATATAGGAGTTGGGGGGGGCAGTATACACATATATGTGTTCTCTGACTAGGCCTGAACTTGGGCTCCCGTGTCCTTCCTTGTAGTGTCTAGTTCTCGTAAAAATCCTGCTAAGTCATTTTAACTAGAATCCCTCTTCCTTAATATATGATTCAGTTCCTCATCATACATTTTCCCCCAGGTGATATCTGATTACCCCAGCCTGCTTTCCATAAGAATCCTATCAGTTGATCTAGCAATAATCCCCCTTATTCCTGATGTTTCCTCTTAGTAATTTTCCATTGGACTGACCCCCACAACTGCTCCTTGACTTGAAATTCCCAGTTTTTCTTGTTGTATTCAATGTTGAGCCCAATTTTTCTCCCTTAGTACAAAACCCCACCACAGTAGTCCCCCTTGAATAAAGTTTGATTTACCATCTTTAACAAATATATACATATATATATTTTTAAAAGTTTATACTGCTGTATCATTTATTTTTAAACACAGACATGAAAAATGTTGAGATTAAAAAGTAAATAAAAATAAGGGCTGTAATTGTTGGCACCTCAAGAGTCATCTTGCATTTACCTCACTTTGAGGTTGTTCCTCAAACTGTTTGCCAAAAGATGGTGTACAAAGATGATTCCAGGGTTCACATCTTTAAAGGTAGTAATGGTGCCTCGTTCAATTACTATTTTAAAATCCTCAATACATAAAATAAGTGTTTTTCTCTTTAAAATGGAACACACTGGGAGCTTCCAAAAGACTCCAAAAGTGTGAGCACTTGGGACAGTTAATACAGGTTCGCAAAATGTGCTGGCAATTCAGTCTCTCAAGCTGGTTTATCGCTGCTGAATACTGCTAACCACAGTAGCAGTCTTCATACCTGTAGTTTTTAATGGTTTTTATTCTTAGTCACATGAATTTAATTTGTATATCAATGGACCTTTGATTTAAATAGGAGGCAAAAGGAAAATACCATTAAAATGTTAGTTAAGGAAAGCATTAAAACTGATATTTCTGCATTTTTGCTTCAGGGTGATTTTCATATCCATATATTTCACTTAGTTCATCATAGAGAATATTAAAAGGAGAAATAAAGTGGTGATTACATCCAATTTGGCTCTTCTTTTATTGAAACTAAAAGAAAGTTATATCTTCCATGCCTCATTTACAAATAACAACCTAAAACCTTCTCATCATTTATAAATAAAACAAAAAATTTGAATTTGATTTTAAAATAAAAATACAATAATTCACAAAGTCAGTCATAAAAGCAGTTTTTGCTTGGCTTTAATCCTATAAAGTGTACTTAATTTTTAAACTAGAAATGTATAACTATTACATATCACAAACCCTGTTTTTTTCTTACAAAAAAGTTTGTATTACACTTTAAATGGGAAAAAGTTTGTTGAAAAGAAAAAGTCCACTTAGGAAAAGTTGTTGGTGTTTATAGGTTGATTTTTACTTTTGCAAAACACAAAAGCGATGAAGTATATTAAATGGACTCACAGAAGTAAAAGGGATTCATGATTCAATCAAGGTAGGGAAACCCTGTCTTAAAACCAATGCGTTTCCATAAAGGCTCAAAATGGACTTCATAAAACAATCTTGAATAATATGCAATGTGTTTACATTCTGAAACTATTCACACTTGATATTTTAACTACAACATTATTGTCCTGTCAGGACAGCAGCCAGTTCTGCATCATGCCATTTCAACACTGGATTTACGTAAGCAGCTGATACCCGCGCCATTACAATATAGAGAATTGTTAAATTTAGGTTACTTTTCAAATATTCTCAAATGAACATTAATACGAAAAATTAAAGACTTTTGTCCTAACACAAAAATTTTATTAACCGAAAACGTGACTATCCACTAGCAGAGCGCCAGGTACAGTTATTTCTAATATTTCTTTTACGAACATACATATGAAGTCTTTCCAGTTTTGCTAAGTGTCTTTTTGGCTTTAGTGTTGCTGACAAATGAAAGTATAAAAAGCACAACGCAGCACATTAGAATGTCAGCGGGTGTTAATAACGAATAATTCAGTAGCAACAACCACATTCAAACCACTCGGGATTTGCGCGTTCGGGATTACAAATAAGAGTTCCGTGGGGCGGAAACCAATGACACAGGCACGCCACAGAGGAAGTAAAAGACTGGTTCCTTTGAGTCACAAGTTCTAAGAATATGTGAATGTCTCAAGGCTCGATTCTTACTCTCTACCCAAGACTGGCTCGGTGGAAATTCTATCATCTAAACGCTGAATGCAACCTCCCTTTGCACAGCGTCAACTGAAGAACTCAGTCGGTCGAGGAAGAGGCGGAACTCGCTTAATTCTTGTCCTTTATTGGTCACGCACTCACCAAGCTCAACCCTTCTATCACAACCAATGAGTCTTTGAAACTTCCGTTAACGTAACGTAAGGGGCGGTGTTGTGCGGCGATAATACGTAAACTGTCTCCACAGTGGCGCTGAGAGGTCAGCTTCGTGCAATTCCTCGAGCTTCCCCGCCCCTCCTCTATCGCTTCCCCTGGGCTAGCCCGCCTGTCTGTTGCTGGCCAATCATCTTCATTTCCCTTTGCGCGAATACCCAATCGGAGAGATAGAGGGGTGGAGTTCCGGTCGTCTGCTCTGCGCCTTGAGTGAGCTCGTGTGCACCCCTGCTCCAGTTGTGGGGTTATAACTGAGGTACATTTCGTAGGGTCGGGCTGGGCGAGTGCTTGGGCCGGGCAGGTGTTTTGACGGGCGGTGGCAGTACGGGTTGAGTCTAGAACGGGCGAGTTGCTGAACGTCTGGCCCTGAGGGTAATGGGGAGGAGCCGGGAAGAGGTACGCACGCGATGGGGTTTCTGGTGCCACGGTCCTAGCCTCGGTCGAACCCGAACAGTCCTCCCCCGAGGGCTGCCGCTGCTTCCATCACTTCCTTTGGGTCATTTTTCATTAAAAGCATAACGCCCTTCTCCAAGTGTTCAAGGAAGAGTAGCCAGGGCCTTGGTTCCCCCTGCTCCTCCCTTTGTCCCCTGGCATTCTTTCCGACCCACCTCTTGAGTTTGTTAATTTTCGAGGTCAGAAAGCACGTTTTCATTTGGGAAACGACATAGTACGAACTAGGAGACCAGCTTCTCTCTTAAGCACTACGTGTGTTATCGTCTCATTTAATCCACATAGCAATTTAAGGAGGTGCTGTAACTGTTCTTATTTTCTCGCGAAGAAACTCATGTTAAATTACTAGTCCACGTGTTCTCTTTAGCTTAGTTAGCTATGACGACTTAGGTTGAGTGTGGCATTCGACTTCCAGGGACGTAAAATTAAAATGTGGTATTCCTTGTAAAATGTTGCTCTTCTTTCCTAACTTGAAGTTATTTCAGAGTACAGCATACCTGCAAGTAAATTGCTGTTATCAAGGTAAAATAACCTAATAGACAACAAAGTAGGAGTCACTATAAGCTTGGACTGGGGGAGTCACAGTGTCTGTCTCAGCTTCTTCAAGTGCTGAATTGAAAGCAATACCAACTTTGGCTACTTCCTAGAGATATGTGGATCAAATGAGAAAATGGATCTAAAATATAAACCACTGATGCTAACTACATATGACTGTTTCTCCTCAAAGTCTTTCCTGTAAAGGCTAGACTATCATTTTAACATAGTACACGGAATATATAACGGTGATAGTAACATGCAGCCTAGTATGGCTTAAGCCTATATGCCCCATGTAACTGTATTTTGCCATTATAACACGCACTTTTTTGCCCAAATTTTTGAGGGAAAAATAAGGATACACATTATACATGAGTAGTATCAATTCTGTATCTATATGATTTAATTCTTTATGCTTATGCATTAAAATATAACTCTAGAGAACAATGATGATATCCATGTGCAGAATAATACCCTGAATACAATAATCAGTTTTGTTTCTAAATATAAATAAATACATAATTGGATTAAAAAAATTAAAGCAAAAGATTTTTCTCCTGAAAGTTGGGGCCAAAAACATGGGTGCACAGTATACAAAGAATGCATTATTCACAGCAAAATATGGTACCTACCTGCTAACCTAGGGTTTAGGACAATATTCCTTGTACGTTCAAAAGTCTTGCTTCTCTGGTTTATATTCTTAACCTTAGGCTGCTGTAAATAGCATAAAGCAAAAATAGATCAGCCCACATAGCTGATTTTGTGAATTCTTTTATCTTGTGTTGTTATCCATGCAGTTTTTGAGTTGTATCTTAGTTTTAACCTAAAATCCACTTTTTTCCCTGCAACTTCTATTATTGGTTACAAATAGGACTGAAGATCATGCTTATTTTCCTGTTCCCAATGATGCTTTAAAGAACTACTTTTTTCATGATTTCTACATATTTAAGATATTTTCATTTACTTGATAGCAAAGCTCATAATTGAAAACAAGAATTTTCTCTTTCTGGAGTGCTATTTATATTTCTGTAGTTCAGTATCTTAAGGCCAATTTTGTGCAAATCATTGCTTAGCTGTTGAGAAGGTGTACAGTTCAAACCCATGTTTAAGAATGTGAACTCAGATAACGGGGATTTAAGGTAGCCATTTAAGCAAACAAAGACTGCATTCCTTTGCCCTTAAGGCTAGACTGGACTAGGCTTCACGGAGAACTAGACTGACAGTTTTCTCATCATTGATACCTCCAGTCCTCTTAGCAAGAAGAAGTAGCTTTGATGACTACAGTTTTTTGTCATTTCTTAAATGAATATAATCATTTGTTGCTCTCATGTGTGGCTGGAATTCATAATTCTCAGGAGACAGGGTCTGATAAGTTGAGTTTGTTACCATCCACTCGTTGGAATGAGATAATATGTGAAAATACCCAGCTGCCAGTAGGCATTCAGTATATAATAACTATTCAGTAAAGGTCTCTCTGTTTTCTGCCTGGAGTTGGAAAGGGAAGGGGCAAGGAGAAACACATGTAGGACATTTCTGTGGTTCAGGCCTACATTATTCATTCTCACATTTCTATGGTTAGAACTCTTGTCATGTAGTCACACCTAACTAGTTTGTTTATTTGTTTATTTATTTTTAATCCTCATCTGAGAGAGAGAGAGAGAGAAACATCAGTGTGAGAAGGAAACATTGACAGGTTGCCTCCCATATGTGCCCTGATTGGGAATCGAACCCACAACTTTTGGTGTATCAGACAGCTCACCAACCAATTGGGCCACCAAGCCAGGACCTGACTAGTTTATTTTCGTACCTGGCTAGTGATCTGATGATGATTTAGCAGTCTCTGCTATAAAGGGCAATACCTCTAATCAGCTGCTTAAGACTTGTCCTCAGCCCTTAGTTTCCAGCTTTTACTTTCTTCACCCTCTGAATTCTGTTGGCATCCAAGTGCCTCTTTAGACAACCCTATTGGACAAAGCCCTTTTTAAGCTGCCCCCCTACCTGTGCTTCATCAGGTCCACAGGAAAAAGCCTCACATCCCTTGCACAGACGAAGTGTGGGTATAGAGGCCAGTAACAATGCAGTGCAACCGTTTCTCCACAGTCTCTAAGGCTTTTTCCAGTTTGGATCCTGTATCAATAGTCTACAGGGGACCAGATCAATCAAGGCCTCTGGGTGTGGGAAAGTGGGAATGGGGAAAATTTCACAATATTTTTCTTCAGCTTTTCCAAAGAAATTCTTTATTCAGCCTCTTTGGTGCTTTTATTCCCTCAAAATGAATGTCAAGCTAATGATTGCAAAACTAGTTTTAAGCCATCTTTGCAAGCCCAGTGTGACCAGTCACCTAACTTTGGGATGTGAGGGTTTAGTGTGCACTGTTTAGGCTGCAAAGCTTTTATTTTGGTACACTTAAACTTGGTTTATTGGACTTTTTTGATAATTAGTTATATAACTGATTAAAAAATTTCTCCTAGTTATCCAAACCTAAGCTATTTGACTATTTGTTAAATATTCCCATTTGGTTCACTAGCCCTCTCTAATCCTTGGTTGAGTAGTAATCTTATACAAATATAAAGAAATGAACATTTTAAAAAAATCTGTGAAGCTGATGATTTCTGGGAAACCAGCATTTCTCAGTGACAAATTTTTTTTTTGTTTTCCCCATCATGCAGAGTCATTCAATCTTATAAGTTGCCTTATTTGGTTTAGAATAAATTTCAGTGACTGAGATTAATCTAGTTGGAAGTGATTCTTCAAAAAATACATTTTATTGATTATGCTCTTATACTTGTCCCAACTTGTCCACCTTTGCCTCTCTCTACCCGGTATACCCATTCCCTTCAGCAATACCCCTCCCACCTTAGTTCATGTCCATGGGTCATGCATATAAATTCTTTGCTTCTCCATTTCCTATACTATTCTTAACCTCTCCCTGTTTATTTTGTACCTACCATCATGCTTCTTATTCCCCCCATTCTCCTCCCTTGCCCTCATTCTGATCTCCATTTCTGTGATTCTTTTCCTGTTCCAGTTGTTTGCTTAGTTTGTTTTTGTTTTTATTTTTTAGATTCAGTTGTTGATGTTTATTGTCATTTTACTGCTCAGTTTTGACCTTTTCCTTAGATAAATCCCTTTAACATTTCATGTAATAATGGCTTGTTGATCATGAACTCCTTTAGCTTTACCTTATCTGGGAAGCGCTTTATCCTCCCTTCCTTTCTAAATGATAGCTTTGCTGGATAGATTAATCTAGGTTGTAGGTCCTTGCTTCTCATCACTTTGAATACTTCTTGCCAGTCACTTCTAGCCTGCAAAGTTTCTTTTAAGAAATCAGCTCATAGTATTATGGGAACCCCTTTGTAGATAACTCTCCTTTTCTCTTGCTGCTTTTAATAGTCTCTCTTTATCTTTAACTTTTGACATATTGTGATCCGTCTTGGTGTGGTCCTCTGTGAGTCCAACTTGTTTGGGATTTTCTGTGCTTTCCGGACTTGTATGTCTATTTCCTTCATCAGATTGGGGAAGTTTTCTTTCGTTATTTTTTCAGAAAGTTTCCCAGTTTCTTGCTGCTTTGCCTCTTCTCCTTCTGGTATCCCTATGATTCGGATGTTGATATATTTGAGGATGTTCCAGAGGCTCCTTATATTGACCTTGTTTTTCTAATTCTTTTTTTCTTCTTGCTGTTCTTATTGAATGCTTATTTCTTTCTTATGTTTCAGATCGTTGCTTTGAATCTCAGCTTCATCCCCTCCGGTATTAGTTCCCTATAGATTTTTCTTTATTTCACTTTATGTAACCTTCAGTTCTGCCTGTTCTTTTTTATGCTGTTGAAGTACCCAGTGAGTTCCTTGAGCATCCTGATCACCAGTATTTTGAACTCTGCATCTGATAGATTGCTTATCTCTATTTTGTTGAGGTTTTTTTTTTTGAGTTTTGTTCTGACATTTGGGTCATATTTCTTTGTCTCATTTTGGCAGCTTTCCTGTGTTTGTTTCTGTGTATTAGGTAGAGCTGCTTTGACTCCCTGTCTTAGTAGCATGGCCTATTGTAGAAAAGGCAACTGTAAATTGTGCGGGACAGAACCTTTGGGAATCACCAGGGTAGGGCAACCCACTGCACCACTTTGTGGCTCAGTGTGGGGCAGGGCACTTAGAGGGGCCACAGTGCTGCTGCCTGGATTCTGTAGGTTTGCCTGGCACTCGTTCTTTTTCCAGTCACTTCACTTCCTCCCGTATGCAACTGGTGCCCTTCCAGCTGTTGCCCTGTGCTCAATCC